TAAATTCAGAAAATATTTATACGTAATTATAATTATAACAATTATTTAATGAATTTTTTATTTTCTCTCTCTCTCTCTCTTTCTCTCTTTTAAGAACCCTTTTTGTTTGTTGAAATTACTCAACAATTTTTTCTTACAATAGTATCGATCGGAAGAAAAATCTTATAAAACCAAAACGATTTAGAAATTGAACGTTTAGCATTGTTATTTAGTACAATGTGTGTGTGTGTGTGTGTGCGTATGTGTGTGCCGCACCTGCAGGGACAAATTGTGGATAGCAATTGAACTCGACCGACCATTGAACTCGATTCCACCACAGATAATTGACGATTCAACAACCGGTGCAATTAACAGCCTCGTGCGACGACCCCGCACTGAGCCGTATTTTCATCTTCGTAATACTCCATTCTAATACCCATTTCTATAGATCAACGATCATTTTTCAGATTGATCGTTTTTATCTATTTTATTTCTTTTCTTTGTGTATATCTTTTTCTTTCGTCATTTTATCATCGATAACCAACGTTCAATACTTCATTGATAAACGTTGTCTGAATATTTGATAATAAACTTTTAAAATAATTTCGCGCGAGATTTTATGTAAAAAAAAAAAAAAAAAAATAAAAATTATCATTGATTAATATTTTGGAAATATTTAATAAAACACAAAAAAATTAGAAAAAAAGGAGAAAATAAATTGATAATTTTTCTGAAAGATAAAATTAGAAGAAAAATAAAATAAAATAGAAAATAAATGTATTATAAAATAAAAAGATTAGGCAATGGGACAAAATTAAATGTAGTTTGAGAAGATGAAACTCGAGAAACATTAAATACAATTGCGAGGTACATGTCAAGCTCGCGGAAGAAGCTGCGAAAACGACGCGCATGATGTCGGCTTGTTAGATGGTATTATTTAGCGCAGGATATCCGTCAATGTTCTTCAGTAATCCTCACTCGTTTTCTAGAACACATCTTAAACCTGACACGCTTACTTCTCAATTACATATTTCAAGCCGCATAACTCGAGTTAGTATTCCTCGAAAGACAATCATTACATTTTTTTCATATTTTTCATATTCTCGACAAAATACGAATGATTAATAAATTGAAAAATATAAATATTATTATTGTTAAATATCATTATCTCTCTTTATTCAGATTAAATTTATTGTTAAACAGATACAACCTATATATTGTATATATTTAATATGAAATTGTTCGTTAATATATAATTTTAATAAAAGGGGGTGCATTTTTATAACTAGTCAAATAGCATATTATGAAAACTACCCTTCAGCGACCGTGTGGCCTAACGGATAAGGCGTCGGACTTCGGATCCGAAGATTGCAGGTTCGAGTCCTGTCACGGTCGATTCTCAGTAATTTTTTTTTCTCAATTTTTCACTGTGATTAAAAAATACAAGATTGTTTAGATTCTTCCAAATACTTGGATTTTTTCCAAAGAAAAATATTTGTTTCATTTTTTCTTCTTTTCTTCTTTTTTTATTTATCCATACAATAACGTTTATATCATAAATTCAACTTTAATTCATTCATTTTGTAAATATATAACGTACGCACATAATTAAAAAAATAAATGATTTAATTAATTATTGTATCTCTTTCACGGTCGTTATTAAAATGTTCTAATATTTTCTTCATTAAGATTTATAAATGACACTTGTTCTCACACAAGAACTTTGATAATAAACTTACTTAAACGATCTAACGGTCCTCGTTTAGCCTCCAAAGAACATTTCTGTTTCAAGGTTTATAAAGTTTCATTCGTAACGATCGGTTAATCACAAAAATGATTGAGAAAATTGCGCGTCAAACGAATTGTTACATACATACATACATATTTTTCTATGTATTATATTTCCTTATTTGAGAACCGTGAAAAAAAACACGTAAAAGCAAAGAAAAAGAAACAACAATAACAATGATAATGATAAATAAAAATAATATTATTATAATTATTTTAGTTAGTTAAAAATCAAGATTAAATCGATAATCAAAAAAAAAATTAAGGATAAAAATAATTAAATGAAACGTAAAAATCGACAATACGAGTTAATTTATTGTTTTTTTTTTTTTTCAAATATTTTATTTTCTCTCTCTCTCTCTCATTCTGTCTGTCTGTTTGCCTTTTCCTTGGATTTTTTGTGTTTTAATTTAGTTCTGCATTTTTTATCTCATTATTTATGATTTCTTAGTATCAACTAGACTGATCAGAAGGCAGAACGCCATAACGTTTATTATTATTATTATCACGTAGCAATAGTAAAAAATGTAAAGTCTAGTATTTAGTATTCGCATGCAAGCAAATACGAATTAGGTCCCGCTTATAAATCGTTTACTACAAACTACCTTCATTATCCTCTCCGATCATCGGGGAAGTTGCAAATCGTTGTTCCTTAGAACATTGCATCCCACGCTTGCTATCAGTACCATTACAAATTGACCCGACTTAACCCTCTTGTATTGATTTAATATGTACTACAACACATATAGTGTTTCGCATCGACATATATAAAAGAGTCTATTATTTATTTATTGAACAAAAATATCCAAATCAATCTTTTTAATTCCTTTACATCTCATATCACGTATGAACCGTTTATTATGAAAACAGTATATGAAAATATTTTCACATATGTGAAAATAATGTTTGTTTTTGCAATATAAGATGTAAAGAAAAAAAAATGATTTGAAAATTTTCAAATAAAATCAATAATTGTGCGGTAATAAATCTGAAATTGTATGAATTTATTTATTTTGGTGTTATTAATATGATTGTTTTGTTGTTTTTAGCTCGCGAGTGAGCGCAGAACCTAGCCCCGCCGACGAGCAGCAGCAGCAGATCAGCACAGATTTAACAAGAAGACTTCACCGAGAGTTCAAGGTCCACTCAATCGTCATCGTCAACAAAATATCTAACGAACTTCATCATCGTACACGAATACTCAGCTACATCTGATAAATTTACCAAGCCAGATTCACCCCACTGCACGGACATCGTAGAATGGTAGAAGGTGAACCCGACTCAAAGCACAACGATAGTAAGTTCTTTGATTTCATTCTAATTACAAATTATAATAAAATAAATCATTTTAAATGATTCGATATAAATATATAATCGTCAATTAAATTTTAATATTTTAAATTGTCATTCGAAAAGTACAAACCTATATTTATTGAGAGAAACAATAGACAATTTATTTGATCTATAAATTAATAAAAAATAAACTTGCGTAAATAAAGTATTTACAAAATTCACAATCATCATTTATTTACAGAGTGTGATGTAAAAGACGAGCGCCCAAACGGTTGTGGTTCCAAGGAACTTGAACTTGCCCGTAAGCATAAATACGTAATCCTAAATAAATATTTCAATATTTAATTACATTTCTCCAAATATATACCTTGATTAAAATATTATGTTTATATTATAATACATTTGATCTAATAATAATTATCGATTAAAACGAAACTGACTTATTCGATCAATCTAATCGAGTTTGAAATTTGTCGTTGATAGGAATCGGGCCCAAGGATAAGAATCTAGATCCAGAGAAAGGATCCTGCATCAAAGCCGATTTCGAAAAGGCCATCGAACTTACCGGTAAATTTTACTTTTATTTTGTAAAATAATAAACAAACAAATTTAAATAAAAAATATTTAATTTTGTGTGCACAGAGAGACGCACGCAAAATTCTTTAAAAAGTTTTAAACGAATGATTAAACAAAAATAAAATATAGTTTGATGAATTATCCGATTGTATTAAAAATAATGCAAAATTCAATTATTTGAAAAATGTTTAATATAGAGTATGGCAAGTTTCATTACTTCCTGCTCGCGGTATGCGGCTTCGTCAGTACCAGTGAGGAGATGGACGTAATTTCCATGTCCTTTATCTTACCAAGTGCACAATGTGATCTAAAACTTGATACCCAAGCCAAGGGATGGCTCAACTCGATCATTTTCATTGGCATGATGGCCGGTGCGTACGCCTGGGGCTCCATTGCGGATGCCTTGGGTCGTCGCAAGGTCCTTATTGCCATTTCCTTCATGAATGCCCTTTGCATCGTTGCATCCAGCTTTAGCCAGTCCTACGAACTCTTCATGTTCTTCCGTTTTCTAAACGGTGCAGCGTAAGTTACCGCGATTTATTCTCAGTTATTCAAAAAATATTTCTTTTTTTTTTTTTTGTTCAAATAGACTAAAGAAAATTTGCCATTTCTTTTATATATTTGTTTCCTTTAGACTTGGAGGAAGCGGCCCGGTCATCTGGTCGTATTTTGCCGAGTTCCAACCTAAATCAAAACGAGGCTCCATGCTTTCATTCATGGCAGCTTTCTGGACACTTGGAAATCTCTTCGTTGCTGGTAAGATGATCCTTTCAATAATGATTATAATTGCAAGCCATAAACGAACATTTTTAAATAAATATAAAAATATAAAACACAAGACAAGAAAGATCATAATTAATTATTCCTTTTTTCTTATATCACTTTATTTATTTTTTCTTATTAATTAAGGTCTGGCATGGTTGATCATCCCTCAGGACATTGGTATTACAAGTGTAGCGTTCACATATAACTCTTGGAGAATCTTCCTGCTGATCTGCGCTGCTCCGTCGTTCATCGTGGCGGGGCTGCTTCTGCTGCTCCCAGAATCCCCCAAATATCTTTTATCCTGCGGAAGATATCAGGAAGCTCTTGATATCTTCCGTGGTATTTATGCCATTAACACTGGCAGGTCTCGCGACAGTTACACGGTAAGTCAATAACTGTTTTCTTTTATTTTTTTATTATTAAAAAAAAAACACATTTTTATTTATATGTATATAATATATTATATATTATATATATATATATATATATATAAATACAAATATACGAAGACTTTGTTAATCTCTCTTACTTTTTATATACTAATTTGGATATAATTTTAAATAATAATAAAACAATGGAAATAATTTTGCCAGGTAAAAGAACTGATCCTCGATGACTTCCAAGAACCAGAGCCTGTCAAGGCTGACATCGTGGAACGGAGTAAATGTAAGATGATGCTCGGTGACATCCTGGATAACAGTCGTCAATTATTCGTCTCACCGATACTCCGTTTTACCGTCGTCTCTATCATTATAAACTTCACCTTCCATATCGGTTATTATGGTTTAATGATGTGGTTCCCGGAATTGTTTAATCGATTCGACGAATTTCACCGTGACCATCCGGGCCAATCAACATCCATATGCGAGGTCACCGATTACGTTGTTAACAGGGGTTCACATCGTATCGAAAATGTTTGCAATGATAAAATCGGTTCTTCCGTTTTTATGGAGTCACTTATTACTGTGGCTTCTGCTATACCGGCTAATATCGTTGCCGTTCTGGGAATGGATCGTCTTGGTCGTAAATTTTTCCTTGGTAAATGTTCAAAATTAAATTTCTTCATCTTGTTTATATTTTTAAACATTTTTGTTCATTAAGAAAATACAGGGCGAACCAAAAGTTTCCGTAGGTCAACATTGTTAATTGATTTCTAAAACTAATTTTTATCTCTCAAATTTAAAGACAACAAACCTAATTACGAGTCTATAAAAAGTCTCGAAACAAATTGATTTTTATAATTATTAAATATTATTAACCCACTTATGAACTTTTGTCGCATCCTATACGGAGAAGTTTTAATCTTTTAATTAATTACTTCTCTTATGTGTTTTTTTATTTTATTTTTAGTGTTCAGTACTCTCTCGTCGGGACTCTGTTCGATCGGATTGTACTTCGTGTACAACAAATATCATAATCTCATTGTCTCGGCTTTCTTCAGCGGTGTAATCAGTTGCGGTAATGCTGCGTTAGACTGCCTGATCACTGAAGTCTTTCCAACTCATTTACGTGCAACAGGTATCGCAATTTCGATGGTTGCTGCACGTCTCGGTGGTATCATCGGTAATATTGTTATAGCTCAACTTTTGGACATGTACTGTCCAGCACCCACATTTATCGTCGCTGGTCTCTTGATCGGTAAGCCCTATCATGTCTTTCTTATTTTTATATATATACAAAGTGAGCCAAAAATTCTTAAGTGAAATCTTAAAAATTAATTATTTTTTTGAGATTTTTTAAACTCATTTTTTCACAAATCATATATTTACAAATTTATAATAAATTTCGAGAAAATGTAAATTGATTTGTAGTCACTTGAGAATTTTGATATCCTATATCGTCAATTGAATGGGTGTCTGTTAGAAGAGCCTATCTTAATTTTGTTGTTGCTACAAATTTGCAGTATGGGCACTTCTTCCAATTATCCGTTCAATTAAAAATTTAATTGAATTTCATCTCTTCTTTTTTTATTAATTTATTTTGTAATTATTTTTCAGGTGGCGGTTTACTGTGCCTATTTTTACCAAACACAACTCGTGAACCACTTTCTTGACATTGGCTAAATAAATCAACGTTGTGTTGTTCCTCAACGAGTCGTGTACAGTCTATCGTCTTACGTGCATTTTATTTTGTTGCAATAATTTTTGATGTTTCCTTACCATTCGTAATTACCTACGACTTGTAGTACATATAATATGTTATCGTATTATTAATATTATCTTTACATAAGAATCGTCCACGTGCACATAAAAAAAAAAGAATGAAAAAGGCAAAAAAAATTATTTAAAAAATAATTAATTAGTTACACGTACATAAAACTAAAATGGAGTGGTTGGAAGAGAGTTCGTTTTGCGAAACAAATATTCGCATGTATTACTTATATGTTTGTTTAGAATGAAACTTTAAGATGATGGCATCGATTTTCCATTAATATTAATTAAATTAGAACAAGACAAAATTTTATATATATCTTCTCGTCATCCTTCTTCAAAACTTTTTCTGATATTACTAGTACAGAGAGAGGATAAACTACAAAAGTTCTTAAGTGATTTTAAAATTTAATTATTCTTTTTCAAGACTCTTGAAGTTACCTTTTTTTACTCAGATAACAAAACTACAAGCTTAGCTGATAAAACTAGAAGCTTAATTATAAATTGAAATAATCGTGAAGAAAATTTTTCAAATCAATTATAAACTTTTGGTTCACCTTGTTTAAGATTAAACTTATATATTAGCCAATCGAAAAAAATTAATTGAAAAGTTAAACTCTGTTTAAAAGGTACAAATATAAGAATTATTTGTGTTAAGAGATTTTGACTATTATATATATTATATATTTTGTTATACGTATAGATATTATGCCCCATTATTAAAATCACACTCGGTCGATAAAATCTCTAATATTTGATATAATATGCACAAATATTCGAAAAATTTTGGGTCGAGAATGTTCTCTCGGTTCGGATACCCATAATTTCGATTAGTATAGCATATCTTTATTTTAAATATACGTATTACTTATATTAGCGTTGTATAATGCAATCTTTGATTATTATTATTATTATTATTAATATTAATATTATTATTATTATAATTATA